ATTGTATAGCCAAACAGTTATATTTATCGAATTCGCTATTTATCATCCGCTACCCACTTTCTGCTATCCGTCATTCGTTATCCGTTAACCGCCATCCGCTACCCGCTACCGCTATCCACTAGCTACTATCTGTTATCTGCTGAATTTTAACCGCTGTAACAAACATGCCCTAAATTTAAGAAATTTTAATTTTTATAATAATTTTGATTTATAAATATACTTTTTTATGGTAGATTTATAAATACACTAATAATTACTAAATATATAAAACAAACTAAAAATCAAAATTCAAAAGCATACTAAATTGACCCTAGTTTTTTTTTTTTTTTTTAAGTTATTAATTTTTTTAATTTGAATTGCTAAGTTTTGTACAATAAAAAAATAAAAAATAAAAGAGCAACAATGCTATTAAACGGCTCCAAAGTCAAGAAGAAATTTCTTCTTCCGATGTTAAGTCATATATCAAGAAATTTCCAAACAATTACGCAGTAGAAATCTCCGGCTGGTTTAATTTCCATAAATGGAAAACCAGATTTCTCTGCGTGCAATTTCTTCGACCTTTGATCGGTGCGAAGAGTAATTGCTTAGCAATGACTTGAAATTAGAGTCAATTATCGGATCACATTCAATTTCTTTCGTATCGCGGATCTGACTATCTATTTACTATTTTGGAAACATACATAAATTAATATACATAGCAATTCAACACATTATATAATTTATTTGTTAAAAAATTATTATTTTTTATAAAATTAAAATAAATAAAATTAAAAATATAATTATATAAGCCATACATAAAAATTAACTAAATTAATTATATTTACATAATATTTTTAATAATTAAACTAATAAAAAAATAAAAAATATATATAAACTCCGTGTACACTGAAAATTAACTCCACATGGAGTCAAAGTTAGTGGGACCCTTGAAACGACCAGGAAGAAGACTATTTCATTTTACTTTCTCGAGGACTTGCTTCTTTTTCTCATGACTTTTAAAATTTTTCAAAACCCAATTTCAGGACATTGGAATTCAAATCCGCCTTTACCACCTTGAATTGAATGGGATTGAGTTAAAGGGGAGTAACCTCTTCATGGGTTAAACCAGCTACAAACCTTTTAACTGTTTGTCTTTAAGATAATTGGTTTCTTAATATACAATTTATATATTTTTATGCATAAATTTATTATTATAATTGATCTAAAATAAACTAAATCTCATCATGGGAATGAAATTACTGTAACTGCCTTATTGCCTTACTTTTATCAATGTCATATTAGCACAAATATAATTTTTCAAATTAATGGAAGCAAGAGAAATCTCACTTAGAATGAGATCCATGTGTTCTTTAGATTATATTTTCCAACCTCTGTAAGTTTAGGTGAACCACTAATCAAAATATACTAACGATCTATTGATCTGAATGGAAAGAGTTCAGTTCTTCTTAAATAAAGTTTCGAATTCTAGTTTTGTAAATGAAGAAACAGGTGTTGAGAGAGTTTTTTTCTAATAAGATCTAATGCGATTCGATTCCGAATTAGTCAGACTTAATGTGGCTATTGGATATCAAGAGGTTAATAAAAAAAAAAAATCACTAATGAAAATATAATTATGAAATAGTTTGGTCACGTGCCTCACAATATAGTATATAAAATTTTATCAATTTTAAACTAATTATAATAATAGTATGAGTGCATGTCTTTTATGGGATATTCCACTTTTTTTTTCTTTTCATAAAATTATTTTATAAGAAGAATTGTGTATAATTTATTTTATAAAATTATTTAAATATATTTTATAAAATAATATAACAATAAAATTAAAAATATTTAAATAACTTTACAAGATAAATTAACAATCTGTTTTGTAATCCATATCCTGTTTTCCTTTTTTTTTTTTTTTTTGTATATAAGAAATGGAGAAATATATTGAATAATAAGCAAGTACAGTAAAAACTCCATCACATGACATATAGCTTAAAGCATGAGAGCCTAACAAGCAGAAACATAAGCATAACCTACAGCTTAGGAACATATTTAAACTATACTCATAACGAATATAGACAATTAAGTAAAGAGAGCCATCTACAACTAGAGATTACAATTGCAATCACTGTATGGGTTAAATAGGATTACTAATGTAGAAAGAAGGGTCACTATGAGCATTGGAAGATATTGGACATCCTCACCTAATTAACCAGCTTCACGGAAAGAGTAAAAAATTTCGACAACAAACAGTCCCCAACCCACAAGTTACCACCCTATCTATTCATTGAGGAATAATCAACAAGAAGGGGCATGGTCCTCCGTCCAAGCCCAAGCACCTCCCTTGGCGCCATGAGCTCCCAACCATGGCCCTATTTGTTCCAATCCTCTTTAATCCCATGTGGCCGAAAGTCATTAAGGGAACGAGAGCCCCTTTAACGACTGGAATAGTGTTCTCCCCTCGTAGAACACCGTCAGCTTTCCCAACCACAATCCTTTCCTCTTGTTTTCAGCCGGAAAACCCAATCCATCTCCAATGACAGCTACCTGGATCGACAATTACAAGAGCCTTCTTAGGGTTCCCGGAAGCTGTTAAAACGTTTTGGAGGCCATTAAGGTTGATCCTCCGTCGGGATAGCAATTTCTCAATCACCCGTAACTTTTTCACTTTAGCATCATCCTGTTTCCAAAACATATGCAGTGGGAGGATCTCGGCTTTGTTCTCTACAATTCGGATCTGGCGGATCATAAAACCCAGGTCATCGTCCGCCATGATTGGGATGCTGTAGTAGTGGCGAAACAAGATGAATCTATAGAGATTTGGCACTCCCGAACAGATGTGGCGATTTTGCAGAGAAAGGAGAAGCACCAGGTTATGGCACCTCAACTGGATCGATCGAAAAGCCCTGCCCAAAGACTTGAAGCAAAAAGGAAGACAAGTAGAGAGGCTCCGCTGCCAGAGAGAAGCCCCAAAGGAAGAGGCCCGCCGACTCCAACCCTTAGCCGGAGGAGTTTGGAGCACGGGAGGAAAAAAGTCCATTGCTATTTGATTATTTTAAAGGCTATCCTGTTTTCTTTTTAATAACGCTGAAGAATGACATTTCACAAATAGCCTGCTGAAACGACTCATAAAATTTCTCCTCCCTAACAAAACCATCATCTCAACTCACTAGCGAGTGTTGTTTAAGCTATCGAGACAAATCTTGAAAAGGTCTGGAGAAAATTGCATGCCTCCACGTCTAGCAGGAAAATCATCTTCAGATCTCTCTTTACTATCTCCTCTTCGGCTCTTCCAGTCTTCATCACTGACAAAACCCCAAAACCAGAATGTCACTGAAATTCCCCGCCGGTTACGGAACCATCTCTTCCACCACCACCGCCACCACAACCATCGTCACGGAATCACAATCCTTCTCTAGCGCAAAGCCTACGCGCCGTCGCTTGCCCGAGTTCTTAAGTGTCCACTCCTTCTCTCTGCCCATCTCGGCCGCCGATACCAAAGCTCCCATAAGGCGAAACGTCTCTTAGTTCCGCGTCACGCCATGATTATGATCGTAATCCTCTTCCTCAGTTTGTTATGGCATCCGCCTTCAATGATCATCTTCTTGATTGTCTTCGTTCTGTGGTGGTTCTACTCCTTTCGCGATGAACCAGTTGTGGTTCTTGGTAGAGTGATTGATGATAGGATTATTCTGGCGATCTTGAGTTTGATTACTGTGGTTTGTTTGGTGTTTACTAAAGTAGGTACTAATGTTTTGGTGCCTTTGATAATTGGGGTTGTCGTTGTTGGAGTTCATGCCGCATTTAGGAATACTGAGGATTTGTTTGTGGATGTAGAGACCGCGGAGGAAGGTGGATTGCTTTCTGTTGTTGGCGGTCAGCCATTGAAGCCCACTACTGGTTATACCCGGATTTGATTGTTTATGAAATTCCCTTTTGGAAAATCTTTAGGATTTGGGTGGTTTTGAGTTGGAATTAATGTGGGGTATCTAGGGGATGTTCTGATTTTGGCCTTCTTGTCCTGAGCTTCTGGATGTAGGATTTGATGACCAGTTTGTTCATTAAAGGATCCTTTTTAGATGGTCAGTGAGAATTGTTTCATTTCTTTTTGATTGATAGTGCTGTTCCAGGTTCCAACACTAAGATGTTAATTTGCAAGGCCTTCTTTGATTCGTGAATTGATCCTGCTGATTTCTGTTCTTTAATCAGACTAAATTAGATGGTGAAAATTGGAATTTCAGGGCTTGATAAGAATTAGGTATTTCAGGTTGTTCTGTATTTCCTATTCCCCATCATTGGTTGAAGTTGAAAGCTGTAGAATTTGTTTCTTAGCAATGTAAGCAAAGTCCACTTCACTCCAGGGAACTTGGTGGCTTATTGCACAATCACCTTTGTTTTGTAGTTTGGCCTTATTGCATTGCGATGCAGTTTAATTTTGTAGGGTGGTAGCGGATTAGTGATGCTATGTTGTGAGGCTACAACGGTGAAGTCTTTGGCTGTGATTCAAAGGTGTTATGTTGTTACACTGATTCCTAAAATAGATTTATTCGTTCAAGTCTTGTTGCAGATTTCCCAGTATAACAAAACCCAGCTTTAGATCTTTTGTTTAGTGAAGTTTTGAACCCTGTGTGGTCGTATTTAAGGCATATTTGTGGATTTTAATTAGCTGGGTTCCTGAAAAAAAAAAAGGCATATTTGATGAAAAATGGAAATTACAGTTCTAGAGTTGTGCTGGATTGCTTTGATAAAATGATTTCCCATTTCAAATTTTCTTTGTTATACCGTTGCATGAGTCATGAGTGTTAACTGTCGAAAGGGGGTATTCGATTTTCTATCTTTTCCTCTGTGTGAAATCCAATTTTCCTCTCTGTTGAGCATCCAAATATTTTCTTATTCTTTATATAAAGCATGTTTAGATGTGTGATGTTTTACATGGTTCATTTTCTTTGTACCAGTTTAGATGCTTAAATGGTTTATCGTGCATCTTAGATGCATTTCAGAGGTAGTTTTATAGTATCTATGCTATCTCTTGTTTATCCATTGTAATGATGGTATAGCTAAAGATTTTGGATTAGCCTTTAGGTGCTTCATTGCCACTTGCATTCTCTATAAGCGTCCAAGCTGTTTGCAGTAGAAGCATATCTTGTTCAAAGATATCCTAACCTGAACACTTAACGCTACTCTTACAAGTGAATCAAGAAATTGTCTTGAACAATTCAAGCTATTATGCTATTTATTCTGCAGATTGATCACTAAGTTGTGACAATTACATCTCCTCTGGCTCCAGCCTATCACAGAAGCTTCTTATTTGACTACAGAGTTATAGCATCAAGCAGCAGATTCCTCCAAACTTGCAAGTTCATTTCAATAGCGTGGAGGGCCAAAACGTGCAACGTTATCTTCTTAGGAAAGCACTTAAGCAATGAAGCTGTCAAAATGTGAAGGGCATATCAAAAATTACAATTTTAGATCGAAAAGATGAAAAACAAGTTCATCTAAATTACATGGGGCATTCAACTCATAACAAACAATTTTCATTCATCTGATCCAGATCCAGGTATCTAACTGTCTAGTTCTACGATATCGAGGCAAAGCTAAAAGTCTATTTTCCCGAAACTTGA